TTTGTTAGTCTCTAAGGTGCCACAAGTACTCCTTTTCTTTATCCCTATTTCAGGATCTTTCACGGATTTGATACATGCTTCTTTTTAAGTCCTGATTCCAGAAATCATCTGTATTTAAGAAGGCCACTTAAGCATGTGCTTAGGTGCTTTCCTGAAATGGGGCCTTAGACTTCCCCACCCTACTATCTCTTCCCTCTTCCTCTCCACCATAGGTGGCAGCTTTTATACTTCTCTGCCCTAACCATCTGATCAGCTTTTTTAATTCTTTAACATTATCTTTACATCCCACTCTGTGGTCAGTCTGTCTCCCTCTCTCACCTCTGTTTGTACGTCTAGTAAGTCTGTGTATTTGTATGTAGAACACAAATGTAAAGTCTTATTGAACAAGCCATCTAGCATTCTCCCCATAATTTGGTCACGCCTATCATCAGCCCTTTTACCACATCAAGACGTGTGCTGCGTTTTACTGATAAGTGCAGGAACATACCACACACAGGGGTGACATTTTGATATGAAAGATACTGTGTAAAACATACATTGTCTTTTATATTATAAATCTCCATTTTAGTAAGGTTGGAAATAGCTGATTTAAGAGGTTATTTCTATATAAGTTGCATCCTTGGAAAATACGTACAAGTCATATGTATGCACAGCTCTCTTTCTCATGCACACACCCACAAAACTGCAATAACTGATGTCCTATCCATCTTGTTTTGTTCTTTTTAATGCTGATGTAATATCATGCATCAGGCACATCACACAATTTTTCCTTGCTTGTTTTCTTTGGTTTCAAACCACTTAAGCATTTATTTACCTTACAGGCTAGACTGATTTTGAAAGAGCCTCTCTAATCACTCAAGTCAATAATACACATTTTTAAAGAATGACTAATGTATTTACCCAAGAGACCAGTATAGCTGTGAATGAGCCTTTCCAGTCTGTTGGATAAATAAATATGCATTTTATAAATTCCATGGAACGATTCTTGGTTTTTCTTTATGCATGAAAAAGAAAATAGACTCCATCAGAAAAAAAAGTATTAAACCTGTGATGTAGATTCGCTGTTAAAGGGATGCTTTCAAATATCCGTGTATGTTTTTTCATTTTTATTTTTTTGCTTTTCATTCTCTCAATATCCTGTTAGACCCTTGTAAGTATAAATACTTTTCCTGCAGATTTTTCCTTTCTTTATTTGGTAACTGCTTCCCACCCCTATTTTTGAATGGGGTTGCCATGAACATGACTATTCATTTCACAGCTTCAACCATATCCTATCACAGCATCTTTATTTATGCATCTGATCACGTGCAAAACTTTGGGAAGTGATATCATCTTCTTGCTTGCACAACCTGCCCATATAGAGCTAAACATCATTTGAGAAGGCCACACCAAAAAAGAGTGGTACTGTCAAATTGCTCATTGATGAAGAGATTGGTTTCCCCCACCTGATTTTAACAGCTTCAAGGCAAAATTAAATGTGTGGCCTGGGAAGCCTGATACTTGTTGTCCTTTTAAGCCTGATGCTCAATTATGACTTTGTCTTTGTGCGGGATTGTAGTTTATTATTATTATTATTTATTCATTATCTCATTCTTAAGCTATGCTGTGATGTGTGTATTGACTGTTCTTGCCTTGTGTCAATTAGAACATGAATTATAGTGGTATAAATGGTTTTTACGCCTTTGCTTCGGGATGTTTTAGCTGTAATTTTTAGAACATAATTTTATGTCACTTTCAGAAACTCACTTGGCCTAGGTTAATTTTAACATTATGATGATTTATTTGCACTACAGCAGCATCTACTGATTGCTTTTGGGTATCCGCGTCCTGGCACTGCCCATGTACGTGTATGCCCACCCCCCCACCCCCCAAAAATAGTTTAAGATCTAAAGAGCTTACAGTCTTGACATAAGGCTCCATGAATACAGCACATTTACAATATCTGACAACTCTTTGGTTCTAGTCTTGGTCCTAAATGCCTGCATGTGAACCACAACATACTTTATAAACCTGGCCACTTCGTGTAATTACACTTTGTGTAATTTGTGTAGCCTAGTAACTGATTCAACAAGATAAGTAGTCTGAAAGAATCTAAACTGCAATCCTGGATTAAATGAATACATTTGATTTTTAAGATTGGTGAAAGTTTGAACTGGCAGGAAAACATCAGGGACATGAGGAATATAATGTAATATGATAGTAAACATAAGGCAATAGTATCAAAGTGGTAAAATGTTCTATTTAAGAGCTTAACTCTGCCGCTTCCCTGCCCATGGAAGTCTTGGAGCAAAGTGAAGAGGTGCCTTATATCATTTACCTGTGTGCATTTCTCTACATTATTGACCTTGCATCTGCAAAAGTCTCACTGATTTTAGTGAACGTTCTGAGAGTGGAAGAGCTGTACTATAGGATGCTTAGATCAGGGGTTCAATTTATGATGCTCAAACTGATAGCCAGAATTCTAGCGTCACCTCCGTTAGGTCTCGTATTTCAACTTATGCTGTTGTTTTTGCCCAAAAAGGGCAAAAGATCATCAAATGCAGTGCATATAGAGTAAAACAACTCCTGTAAAATTGATGATCCATCCAGTTATATATCTGTGGAGATTGTTGGAAAGGAAATGCAGCTCTCTCAGTTCTCGGACCCCTGTGCCAGTTTGAACTTCATGGCTGAAGGTTTAATCCCTAAGTATCATATCAACAATTCATTTTGTGATATTCTGGCTGACATGCTCTCCTTCCTTATTTATTGATGTCTTTAGTCATCAGCAATGAGAGGAAAATACACTATTTTGTCAAAGTGATGGTGGATTACCCTCAGTTACAGTTGATGCTATTGTCATGTTGATGGTTAGAAAATTAAACTAAATCCTTATAAAAAGCTAAGAATGTGAACATACCACTGATAGGAAGAAAAAGATTTGAACAAATACAGTAACTTTCTTAAGTTGGCATATAAAAATATATAGCTGCATCCTTCAAAGATATTTTTGAGTTTTGTTTGTGAAATACCAGACCATTTTAGCCAATGTGCTTTTTATTTCTTCCTTTGAAAGAAAATCTTCTCCTGACTCTTCTTTTTACTTACACACACACACACACACCAAATTTTGAATAATAAATATTTCCAGCTGACACTAGTTTGCTGGAATTTGGCTGATTGTTTTACTTTACTTTTGAAATAAAATATATTTTTCTTAAAAAATACAGTGAATATATGTATCCTTTTATGTATTCCAAGACTTTAAATGCTTTAACAGTGATTGATAATAAGCACATTATAGTTTCATCCAGAGGGTTATGAGACATACATGCAGATGAGTCTTGAGTCACTTTTCCTACTCTACCATCTGTACAGCTGTGCTCCACCTTACAGCTTTTTAACTCAGTAACCACATATCTTACCACGTTTCACCTTTGGGAGGCATTGTATATACAGCTAAAAGTAAAGAGCTGCAAGCCAGCAGGGACAAGATAGCATAATGGGGATGTCAATTTGTGGTCAGATATCTGAGGAAATATTTATCTTACTTGTACTGTACTTGGCAACGGATCCAGCAATATAGACTGTAATGAATATTTTTGGTCTTTAGCTGACAGAATATATATCACTGTGCACTGAAATTATTATTAAGGGGGGAGAAAAGAATGTCCAGGATTTCTTTGCCTCATATTTAAAAAAAAAAAAAGTTTAAGGCAGCTTAACGTTGGATCATGTCCTGAAAATTTAAAATTGTAAGTATTGCTATGTTAATATATAACTGATTTTTTTTTCTGATTCAGTCTCTTTCTACAATTGTAAGAATCAAATGTCAAGATCTTGCTTATTCATAATTCAGTAACATAGCAATAGCAATATGTTGCTTTTGTTATTTAGAGAAATATGCAGTATACTTCATTTGGGTACTCTTTTTTTGGCACTGGTAGGCTGAGCAGCCTAAAGGAATGTGCATAGAACTGGAAGTCAGAAACTTCTGTTTATGTCAGACTTGCTATGTGGCCTGAGGCAAATTGTATCCATTTCCCCTTCTGTAAAATGGTGATCATATAATTTACTTTCTTCCCTCAGGGGGATGTAGTGAGGTTTAATTAATGTTTGTATAGCACTCTGAAGATGGAAATCTCTTCTATATCGAGGTGGTATTATTTTCTTATACATGCATATCTGTAATAGCTATTTCAGGTTAACATATGAGATTAAAGTTATTTCAAAAGGAAAGTCCTGTCCTTGTTCACAGCCTTCGTGTTATGTCTTGAAGCCTGAATTTTCCCCTAATTTTGCAATTATTTAATCCAGCATGGGCTATGGAAGCAACCAGCCAAAGTGTAAACAAGAGATGATGCCAACCAATTGATTAATGTGACTGTTATCAGAAATACTAAGAGACCCAGCAGAACACATCTCCAAGCTTGCCAGAAATGCTAGGCCACCAGTGGACCGAAGAAGAACACCAGTTGTGTGAGGAGGAAGGGTTAACACTAAAATAACAGAATTTCATTTTAGTAGCAGGTGGAGTTAGGAGTGCAGGGAGAAAGGCCTTCCACTAATGTCTGTTGTTTCAGAATCTCCATAACTGTGCTGGTATCTCTTAGTAAAAATTTCCTGATATTTCCCAGCAAGGGAAGCAGAAGGGGAGAGACAAAGGTTAAGAACATGTGAGAAGTATGAACTCCCACCCTGCAGAACAAGTATGAAATTCTTCTTGCCAATGTTGTGTAGACCAAAGGTTAACATGAATCCCTATAGCCTAAACTATCTCATTAGATTGTCAATATGACAACTTCTAGTTTGATTGTTACCTCTTCATGTGTATGATATTTAAGACATTTAAAGCTTGTTAGTGATTTTGTCGTTGAATTTAGGTGGAGTGATTAGGCTCTCTTATGTTACAGTGCTGTTTTTCTTTAAATATGTTTATTAGAATTTAACCTGGCATGTTGGGGGCTTACAGAGAAAAGCTGTATTTTTCAGGATTTATATTTTGATTTTTTTTAATGCAGAGCAGATTGGACAGGAAATGTTGGAAAACCTGAGCCAAGACAGAGAGAAGATCCAGCGTTCTCGGGAAAGGGTAAGTTTGACTATAAAGAATTGCTGGTCTCGGGTTTTGTGTGCTTTGGGCAAGTTCACTTTGCAAGCAGAAATAATCCAGTACATTGATTAAAGTCTTAAATAAGTCAACTATTGTATCATGATATGTAATCACCACCCATCAATACTTATTAAAAAGTAAAAGCCTAATAGGGGCTTGATCCTGCAAACTCTGAGTAGTACAAGTTGTCCCATTAAAGTCAATGGGTCTGCATTTGCAAGGAAGAAATTGGCCCAATCCTGCAATCAGACCTGATCAATGTGTGTCTTGGAATTTTTTCAAGGCCAATTTTTTTTTTCTGTTTCTTCCTGTTCCTGCCTGAAGCAAGGTTAAGAAGGAATGAAATTTTCCTAGAAAGCTGACTGGTGAGCCTCCAGTCATACGCTATCCAAAGACCTGTTGTCAGAAATGGAAGACCTCAAATTCCTAGTACTCAGTCCCATTATACGCCTCTTAGTTACTGTTTTCAGGTCTTCATTAGATCCATATAAGAGCATATGTCTGTGGCATGAAGTCCACTTGAAGGTTGTGATCTTAGCTCACATCTCTATGTATCCCATTTTCTAAATTGTTGTTGTTAAAAGACCAAAGATGGTCCCTCAGTGGCCAATACCTTTGCACTGCACATACAGAGGCATCATGTTACAGAGCAGGGAGATAATAAACTATTTCTGTAGAACTCAGGAATGACTGCACCAGACTGGAATGTTGCATTCAGTTCTTAGCCCCTCATTATTGAGAAAATATTGACTAATTGGTTGAATTTACTAAGAGTAAAGTTTAAATGAGTTAGATGTATGGATAGAGATATATAGCTTGGCTAAACATTAAAGATATTATAATAGTTTCCCTCTGTTTGAAAAATGCAAACTCCTTAGATGGCAAGGAATGCATTAATTTAAGACTGATATGGGACATAACTAAAAATATTTGGAATCATCTAAGAAATTAAAGATGTAGGTTTCAGAGTAACAGCCGTGTTAGTCTGTATTCGCAAAAAGAAAAGGAGTACTTGTGGCACCTTAGAGACTAACCAATTTATTTGAGATGTAGGTTGCATATCAGGAAGCATATCCCACAAAGAGATTTACTAGACTCCCAAGGAAATGGTGGAAACCACATTGCAGGAGTCACTTAATTTACCAAGAGTGAACAGGGTTCTGAAGAAAAATGGGTTTCAGGGATTAATACAAAATTATCAGTAAAACTGACAAGATTTTCTAATTCCCACCGTACCACTCAACTCCATCAGTCCCAACACCTTGTTTATTTCCTTCTCCCTGCTTTCTCTTATTATTTGAAATAAACAATTTTTAAAAACTTTTGCACTTGTATAGATTTTCATTTCCTGATTTCAAAGCATCTTCCAAAGGAAAGTACTGTATACCCATTTTGCCAAAGGTCACACAGGAAGTCTGTCAAACCTTAACCACAGGATCATCCTTCCCAATTTCACAGAAAAAGTTAACATAGGTTTTTTTTCCCAGTGTATCCCAAATCTGTAACAGATTATTCAATATATGACCAAGACCTATTATTTGAATGTCCATTTTTATCTTCACTTGCCAGCCATGCTTGAGGTTTTAGGTTTGTACATCAACAGCTAATGACATTGCAATCGGCTAAAACAGAATTCTCTGGCTTGACATAGCTGGGTTTTTTTGTCATCGGTTGTTGCACTCATCGCTGAGCTCATGTATTAGCAGGGAAATGGAGGAAGAGCTATCTTGGAAATATTTTGTTTTAGAATAAGTGTATTTATGATTTGAAAATCTGTATGTTGGGTTTTTTGCCAGTGCAGAATAGAAGAGGTTGTGTTTTTATTGCTCCCTTAGGCTGTTTGCCTATTTGGTCTAACTTTTCTTCTGCTTGTTTTTACCTTAGGAATACCAGGTCCTGACTTTTGCTTGAGAACTTTGTCAAACCTGGATAGTGGCAATCTAAGAATCGCTACCCTGAGCAGTAATTTTACCTTTCAGGTTTGCCAAACTCCTCCAGCAAAAAGAGGGAAGTTAGGAACTCATATTTAAAGGTAAAAAGCCGAAAACTTCTTTTTATCACAAAAGAAAGGAAGGAAAACAACATATTACCCTCCCCCTCTGACCCACTGTGTTTGAGCCTATCATTACACGTAATAAAAGAGCAACAGGAAGGCACACACGTTTGCTTACAGTTCACCTCTGGCATAGATAAAAACTTGGTTTTGTAATGAGCTTTTAAAAAATTGCAGCAGGTATGTTTTTCTGTTGCATGTGTCATACTGGTTTAATCTGGTTTTCCAGAAGTTGAATCAGCTAGACTTTACCTTATGCATCATAAAGCACCCATGACATGGCCTTCCCAGAACAAAGCACACAACCTATCACCTCATGGTTCTTGGTTACAAAGCATTGGGACAAACTCCAGGCTTTTCATCCAAACTGGGGGATGGGAGTGTCAATTATTCCTATCCTTCTACTTTGTTCTTCTTTAGTAGCGTTTAATTAAATAATATAACCACAAAATAATTCTGTAAAATATTATAAAAGACATTCATCACTAAAGGCCCTATCTGGCAGACATTTACTACTAAGTGTGGTGAATGCAACTACTCACAGTGGTTAGCATTAAACATGATAGTAAATATTTGCAAGATCAGAAAATGGAAGCTGTTCTTAATGCACTTTATGTACTAGGTATTCAGGTACTAGGTACTGTTGTATGTAACTTATGATGGCGAAAATTCTTCATTATCTGGAGATTCCCGCTTACAGTTGCCCTTTTACTTTTTATGGATTTATAACGCAGAATATGTTCGGTCTCCCAAATCGAAGCCTCTGATAGCAGTAAGGCATTGATTGCCCTACCTGCTGAATCATCAGGCAACCCATTAAATCTGAATTTATAATGAAGTAGTAAATGTTGGATGAAGTGAGGTAAAATTTAGAAAATAAATATATACCTGTCTCCTTCGTGAACTCTCCAGACAAATCCCCTCTCTTGTGGTTAACTCTCACTCTGCCACATGAGCCGTGGAGGCATTCCAAGCAGCCTATGGGAGGTGCAAGCTTCTGATATAAAGACTTAAGTAATCTAGAAGTGAGGGTATAAAGATTCCCCACCAACAGTCCCTCAGTTCTATTTTTGCACCTGCTTAAGCAGGTTGTAGAACAGTCCTCTCTCATCAACTTGGGAAAAAAAACAAACCACCTAACATTTTCTAGTTTTCCTTTCACCTTCCCTTTAGATTTCAGTTTCACTGTGTGTCTGTGCATGTGTGTATCTATAGTGTTTTTATTCTCATTCCCCTTCAGAGAAAATTGTTGTAGTTTACAATGCATTTCAAAGAAGGGCTTGCTAGAGTTGTTAGGTTTTGCTGAGCTTTATTCCTGACTTTGCTGTGAGTGCAGAAAAGCTAAATTAGGAGACAGGACTCGATGACTGAGGAGGTTTCTTCACATCTGATGTCCGATACTGAAATTTAAGATATGTGCTTTTTACAATGGTAAAATAACCAGGATTAACCAGCAAATTTGTCTGTCTGTGAAGAAGACAGTAGAGCTGTGTAAATAGCTGAGTTTTTGATTCACTGGCAGTTCCAAAAATTGAAGAAAAAAAAAATACTAATTTCGGGTCATCCTGAAACCTACATTTTTTGGCATTTACGGTGAATAGAAAATTGCGAAAAGCAAAAACCGTTTTGGGTCCTACTTGATGTTTTGTTCAACCCAAAACGAAAGGTTTGTTTTGATTTTAGGCATTTTTAACCACTTTCTTAAAAAACCAAAGGAAACCTGGTGCTAGATTCCCAAGGGGACCTAGGCACTGTTCACAAAACCAAGGAGGAGAAGGCCCCCAAGGTAGTGCCCCACTTCTTATATCCAGTAGACCAGTGCTTGGGACACTTAGCTGCAGTGTGGAAGAACTAGCTCTGAATCCCCTCTCTGAGCACAGACTGGTAAAAATACTTAAATATTTATTAGGCCAGAGAGATAGTGAAAATCACTCTATAGCCTCCCTTTTCTTGAACTGAAAACTGCTTTTAAATCCGGCATTTGCCTAAAATGCCGTGTTTACTATAGAGCTCTGTAACAAGAAAGTTAATTAAGTTCATTTGGATATGTAGTGTTGCTGAGCACTGTTAAACCACTACCTTTTTTTGACCAAAGGGGTGGGCAAAGTTGTTATAATATAATTATAATTAAATATATTTAATCTCATATACACCTATATATAGTAGTTTGCACAATCTGTAAATTGTTTTGGGATCTGTTTCAATTAAAGTTGCTATAAACTGTAAGATTAGTTCCTACTTTCATATTTAAAATAGGTAAAACTTTGCTGTAGAAGCACTATGGAAATATTTTAAGGATATATTTTCCACTGTATCAATCATATGACATTGTTCTGTGATATTGTTTTTGCTTCAGATTGCTTTGTCTGGAGCATCTATGAAAACAACTGAAGGAACAGTATGTGAAAAAAACAAGAATAGCTAACCCTTTGGGTATCTCCTCATCCCTTGGTACCCTCATTTAACTCCCAGTAACATTCATAGGACACACACACACACACACAGAGACACAATGGAAAATATAGATGCTAATCTGTAATGCCTTTTATTCCTCAGATCTTTATTTATAGAGCCTTTCCTTTTTGTTACATCCACTGTTGAATCTTTCACAGATTTCATCTTTATGTAAGGAAAAAAAATCTACACTTAAATTTCAGAGCTTTACTAGAATTGAATGTGAGCTAAAACTGAGGAAGATTAAACCAATGTACAATAGAACTCTGCTGTTTGTACTTAATGGAGGGCATGTGGGTTTTTTAATATAACCCTCTTCTCCGCAGCTTAGAGAAACAGATGCAAACTTGGGAAAGAGCTCCAGGATCCTAACCGGAATGTTGCGAAGGTAAGGACAAGGTAGGGATACCTCTGTCTCTATCGGCTTTATTATTTTTAATTATATCTCAGCATTTGGCTAACTTGCATGGTTTTTTCCTCACAATCCAGTAGAATCTCTTGAAACTAAATATTGATGTTGGCACAAGCATTCACTGAGGAAAAATCAGATGAGAGGGACGTTTTTACCATAGGAGTTTTGCACAAACTATGAAAAAAATTTAGGTTGGCTGTAAAATAGTTTTCCATTGTGTAACACCGACAGACCCTGGTTGTTGGCAGGTGGGATTGAACCTGGGACCGCTGAAGCTTAGCATTTAAGCTTCTACTGCATGAGCTAAAAGCTAGACGGCCCTTAGCCAACGCTGTAGCAGACTCATCAATCTGTAGCTGGGCTAGGTGTCACCAGAGGGGGACAGAGCGCCAAACAGGCATAAGTACAATTGCATCAGAGGTGTGGCCCCTTTCCTGAACCATTTGTCGGTTTTCATCCTATTCTAAAAATAGGCTGTTTAATGGAGATACAGCACCCATTATTTCTGGATATACAGTCAGGTGTTTTAACCTGTTAGTTTAAATTTGATTGTTTTATATTTATAATACAACTTATACTCAGAGCATAATTTAAAATAATTCATTCTAATTTGAACATACTAGAGAGAGACACTTTTAAAAACATTGTGTTTTGAGCATGCTTCTCTTGTGTGGTGTAATATTATGGAAATGTAGCCCTGGGATTTAAAGTGAAGTGTGAAGAAAAAAAATTGCAACATCCTAAAAATCTATCTGGGATTTTAGGGAGGATGAGAAAGATATTCAGTGATTTCCAGCCACCTTGAATTTAAATCAATACCTTTACCAGAAAGCTTGTTTTAGCCAATGGAATCCCTGGACATAGAGTTATCTATTCAGCAAAGCTGTACACTTGTAGCACTGTGCTGTCTGTATTTCTTGACTTATAGTTGGCTCCATAAAGAATAGTCACCCGAATTATAGGTGGCATTGGACATGCTAGGACTGATACTTTTAAGGAATAGGTTATTTATAAAATATTCTGCAAAAAATTGGTATGAGTTGGCCCTTCCTAAGTTGCTCTTCACAACATGCAAGCCTTTTGTAGTGTGTATTTGTTTAAGCCAATTTGCTTTAAAAAAATTAAAATCCTAAATTTTAGCGAAGTCAGCGATTTATCGCGAGCCTCGGAAAATATTGGCAAAGGGAATTTATAAGTTGTTCTTCAGTGCAAGCTTTATCTCTCCATAAGTCTCCTTCAGAAAATAGCTTTCTTAGTTCCTTCTATACCCAGCTGACAAAGGTTAAGATAACTGCACTTCGTGCCTCCATTTCACAGACTTCTCATATTTCCAACTCTGAACCATAACATACAAAATTCTGTGATTAAGACTAATATGTAAATGACACAACCTAAATTCAAAATCCATGGAGAAACAAAGTGGCAATTGAAAGAGATGCTTCAGTGCTTGTAGACAATATTAAAAAAAAACAAACCCATAGCCTCCCCAGGAAGGGCCCTGCGACATGAGCTGTAACGAATATTCTGCATATGTCTCCATTTTGTCAAATCTCATTAAAGGGGCTTCTTGCTTTATGTCAATTGAGCTGTCCAAAAATCATTCATCATTTTTAGTGTAAAAAAAAATCATGCAGTTATTTAAATAATATCATATTAATGTTAAAGTTCAGCTGTCATTTAATAGTATGGCTTAATCAGACATAACATTTAGGAAAAATAGTTTTTTCAGGCTTTACTTGGCTTTCAGGTTGGCAGATTCAAATAAGGATTTATGGGTTTCTAAACCAATGTATTTTTTCCATGTTTATGCTTGATGTACCTCAGCCTGGTTTTTTACAGGACTCTGTAGTCTGTTATTTTCAATAAAATAAAGTATCTGCTCACATTGTGTTTGAATACATTTGCAAGTAATTTGAAGATGCTGGAACAAAAACATATGCTGTAACCTTTGACTTTGTTTTGTGTTTGGGAATCACAGTTTAGAGTCCTAGTTTATAAGTGTTCCATAAACCAAATGAAAAATATGACCTTTGTGAAATATACTCGAGGCTCTGTTTTCTGACAAATGGATTATGTAGTCAAACACTAAAAAGACATGTTTTTCGTATGTCAGAAGGGCAGTGGATTTTCTCTTTCTTTGTTTAAAAGAAAAAAAAAAAGCCTAACTGAATCACCCATCTGGTTAAAAGGTTAAGGTTTAGGCCAAGCAAATCGGGTATATCTGTGCAATTCATACAGATGAGCATAAAGATTTGCCATTGTGGAGGCAATTGATATAGTGGGAGACGCTCTTAAAATTTCCTCAGGACGTTATTAGCAAACAGGTAGTATCCAGGAGTGATATAATGTTTTATGACTATACTGACAAAACTGTCTAGCAGTATCCCAGCCTCGGCAGCTTCTAAATGTTGTTTAGGCATTGAGGAGCAATCGCAAGAGATAGAAACAGGAAGTCAGCAAAGAACAACGTCAGGTGCAGGTGTAGGAAAATAATTGCCATAGCTTGGCAGTTGGGTCCTAATACTGCTTACTCCACTAAGTACCACACAGACATTCGTTGAATTTCTGGAACCAATAAAGAACAGTGATGGATGGCCATATTTCACAATTATCATATAGAAAAGATCTTGTTAAGTTGAACACTGTAGTTGCCGCTATCGTGTATGAATCCGCTGTTACTCTTTGAAGTTGTATGCCTGCCTTAGTGGTTACAAATGTGATGTATTGAGTGTAACTGTTCATAGCTGGGAAAGGCCAACCATTCTCTTTTGTGAGCATGGTCAAATATAGTAAGGAATTACATATTTAGGGAGACTTATGAACCTGAATGCAGAATATGCTGCAGACTGATGGTAAATACTTTTCAGCTATATAGAAACCTTTCATTAAAGGCGAGTAAACATTATCCCTATTTTACAGCGGAGGACTGAAATGGACATAGGTTAAGTGACTTTTCATAGCTCACACAGTGAATCAAGTGGCAGAATAGGAATCGAAAACCTTATCCCAGTTTGCTGCTCTAACCACTACAGGAAATGGCTGCCTCATATGAATCAGAATTCATTACCTACTGCTAATTTGGCACGAATACCTGCATGTGGGAAGAGAGATCTAGGATAAACGTTTAAAAACTGTCTCTTCATTTAAACTAGAATGTAATCCATTTTCATTTCCAAATGTACAGGTATTTTCAATATCCTGAAAAGAACATAGACTGAGACTGCATCTAAAATGGCATATTGTATTCAGGACAGTTCACTATTAGGAAGATATCAGCAAACTGATAGGAATTTGCAAAGATCAATCAAAATGACTATGGGACTATTTAGTTATTCATTTTGGTTGTCACTTATCCATAGCTCTCAGCACCACCCAAAATTTAATACAATGATAAATCTAAAATGTTCAATACATAACATTAGGCCAGCAAAATTCCAATTATAGTTTCCAACTAACAGATTCTTACATAAGATAATGCAACTTTTCCAAATCATATAACAAGTCCCCATCTGAATCATCCATCCTTCCGCCTCCACCCCTTCCATGATCTTAGCAGGTCATAGTTTGTTGGACAGATTGAGGGGAAGGTATAAATCCCACCACACATTCTGAGAGCCCTTCATTTTCATAAACATAATTTCCCTGCCTTTCTTTTGTCCATGATCAAGCTCAATAGCCATGAAAAGCTTTAACAAAGATTTAGGATAACCTCTTGGGAGAGTCTCCAAGCCCACACACAGCCTAATGGGAAACAAACATAATCAAACATTAACCAAATAAATATTCCAGGTGTGAATGTCTCAACAGCAGATACTCTTGGCACCAACTCTTCCTCTAAGTTCATTTATTTCAGGAGATGTAGAATCCAAGAACTTTTTTGACATCATCATTATTAAGAAAAGTATCTAGTACCCTCCAAAATGACACATTGTTTTCCCTTGAAGAACATCATGATTTCTGACCCTATGACTCTACCTTCTAATAATTCAGAGTTTCATCTTCTGAGTTGTTATATGAGATGCGCTGGAAAACTCATGAACGTATCTGCCCACATAAACGAACCTTTTTTAAAATATAATTTTAAACAGGATACAGTCATTAGCTCCAGCTGATGGAAATGAGGCAAGAAGTATACAAGTCTCAGGTGATAAATTATCAGAATTTCCAACATCTGTATGAATTGCCACCACTAGTAAAACCATGAATAAGAAGTATTCCATCCCAGTAGTAAAGGTGGTTGCATTTCTTCTTTAAGATTGTTCCCAGCAATATCTGGCTATAACTGCCCAGATCTCCAATAGCCAAACTTTCATCTACCCTTAGAACTCCAAAGTTTTTTAGTCTTATTTTTCAACGTTTCAAAATTTCATTATATTTAATAAGTGCCCTGGAAACCCCCTTGAGAATCTGCACCTCAGTTTGTGAATAAAATGTGCTGTTTATACAAATTGCTTTTGTTCCTGGCAGTTTTCAGATATTTCAATTGTTGCAAAGAGGCCTAGTCTTTATTTATGAGATGAATCCAGCTTTAAGGAAGTTGCCTCCCCCGTCTGACATGTGTGCCCCCTCTACAGAATGATTGGGCTGAATGACTAGAGATAGGGTGACCAGATGTCCTGATTTTATAGGGACAGTCCCGGTTTTGGGGTCTTTTTGTTGTATAGGCTCTTATTCCCCCCCCACCTAGTGTCCCGATTTTTCACACTTGCTGTCTGGTCACCCTAACTGGGGAGCAATGGATCCACCAGGCTCTTTTGCTTACTCTTTTGCTCTTTGAGACTTGAAAAATTAATTATGGTCTTCCTTGGCTGCCTAGCCCACATCACCACTCTCACAAATAGCAAGAGAGACCATTCAAATAGAAACAACTGTGCAAGTAGTTCCTCGTTTACCCACCTTTCCTTGTTTCCATCCCAAAAGCCTTTCACAATCAAACTTTCTTTAGAGCAAGAGCCTTTCTCACTGTCAGTGTGACG